CCCGGCCCGCTAATTCCAAACAGCCAATCACGCGAACGCAGCGAACGCACGTGGACAGCTGCATTGTCGGCCCGACTCGTCCGCTTGCGAATCGCGTTGCGAATCCACTCGGCACAATGGCGCGCCACAGCGGTGCAACACAATTACCGTCATCAATAATAAGGTAATATACTTTGTCAACGATGCTGTGTTGCCGCTGTGGCACGCCGCCCCACTCGGCGGGGCGGGCGAGCGAGCGAGAGAGAGAGAGAGAGAGAGAGAGAGAGAGAGAGAGAGAGAGAGAGAGAGAGAGAGAGAGAGAGAGAGCATGCTCGGAGCCGGGTCGCCGAGCCGCCGCCGCGCCGAGTTTCCGTTTGTGTTGGAGTGTGTGAGTAAGGTATGCGGTCGTACTGGTTTCTGAGCACACGGAGAGTCAGCGCTCGTGTGTGTGTGAGAGAGGGGAGAGAGAGAGAGAGAGAGAGAGTGAGAGGAGAGAGCGTAGGGGTGCGTGTGCGAGAGTGTGCGCGTGTTCTTGCGGATGAAGGAATTGATGACGTCTGCCAACAAAGTTTCCACTATCGACACGGCTATATTGCCCTCGGCACCAGATCCGAGGTGCCCGCCGCCGCAAGGCCTGCCGGGCCTGCCAACACCACCACCATCCGCCCGCCGCGCCGCCGAGGCCCACTCGCCCGGGCTATTCATCATAGCGGCCATAGCGGCCGTGCCCCTGCGCGCGCCGAACGGGAACGGATCCGGCGAGAAGTGACCATCACCATCACCATGGACCATGACCATCACCACTATCACCATGACCATAGCCATCACCGTGGACCATGACCATCACCATGACCATCACCATGGACATCGCCATGACCATATGACCATGACCACGACCGCCACGACCACGACCGAGACCACGACCATGATGACAGCCAGGTGAAGCTTGATTTGCCGTGACCCAGTGCCCAGTGCGTTGGCTGCGTTCGATGACCCATTGTCTGGGCGCAGGCGCGGCTTGCCGAGGCCTGGCCCATTGGAATGACAATGGCCACGCTCGGCCCACGCCGCGTCATATATAACGGATATCATGGCCGATCTGTTAAAATATACGTCGCGAGGAGGGGCCCGGAACCCTGTCAAAAGCGAAGCGCTTTTCCGGTTTTACGTTTTTTTACGAGTCCTTTTTACGGTCTTGTTGGCAGCGCGCCGGCCTTAAGGGCGCCTCGTAACCGGGTAAGTGGGTTACGGGGGATAAACTCGGCGGTTATGTGTGCGATTGGCGGTTGCCGAACTACAAAGAGGACAAAGTGCGGTGCCTGGGATGCGGTGGCGGAGGCACGGAGGGGGAGAGAGGGAGGGAGCAGCAAACGCCTGTCAAGTCTCGGGTAGGCACTCCCGACGACGCGATGCACGGCGGAACGGCCTACCTCACAGGCGCTAGCGCTAAAGTTCGCTCCCTAGTGGGCCAGAAAAACCGCTGGAGGCAGCCGAAACTCTGGACGCGTTCCGAAATCGCTAAATGGGGCTCGAACTGAACGTGTGACCCCACCAATGGATTGCTCTCCGAACGAGGAATCCATTGGTGGCGTCACACGTTCGGTTCGAGTCCCTTAGCGGATCTGGAGCTCAAAACGCGCCCAGAGTTTTGGCCACCTGCACCGGTCTTCTGGCCCACTGTGGGCTCCCATCCCGGCAGGCAAAAAGCAACAAAAAGCCGCAAAAAGCACGCCAAGGGGACGGGGGAGATTTGTGTGCATCCCGACAGATTGAATCCTGTGAAACCGTCGAAGCTCGAGTATTGTGGCACGCCATTTCCCCACGTCAAAACGGCCCCGATACCTATCGCCATCTCTCTCGCACGCCGCCGTTCCCAGGCCGCGGCGAGCCCCGTCCGCCCCCGTCCGCCCCCGTCCGCCCCCGTCCGCCCCCGTCCGCCCCCGCCGCCCCCGTCCGCCCCCGTCCGCCCCCGTCCGCCCCCGTCCGCCCCCGTCCGCCCCCGGTCCGCCCCCGCCGCCCCCGGCCGCCCCCGTCCGCCCCCGCCGCCCCCGTCCGCCCCCGTCCGCCCCCGTCCGCCCCCGTCCGCCCCCCGTCCCCGCCCCCGTCCGCCCCCGGTCCGCCCCCAGCCGCCATGCATGTGATTTGTGCCTCCCCCGCGGCTCGGCTTGGCTCGGCCCGCCCCGGCTGCCTTGGGCTTGACTTCCTCCTGGCACTTCTTCTCCAGGCTGAGCTAATTTTCTGCTCAGCCTGAACACTTTCTCACGCGCGTGCCGCTAAACTTTCGGCCGCCCCCGCCTCGCGTGTTCCCGCAAAAACAAGTCGTTCAGAACGGCACGCCTAATGTGGGCGAGCGAATTCACAAACTAGTGAGGAAATTTCTGCGAGGCCGGGAAATTCCTCAAATTCGGGGACGGGAAATTTCTCGTGAGGTTGACGCGGGCTGGGAAATTTCCCGGCGCGTGAGCAACTTTGTCCGGAAACGGATCGCGCCATAATTCAAGAGTGAATATCCCGGACGCGATTGGAGTGAGCGGCGCGCTGTGCGTTTGATATGCAAATGACGTGGTTCCGCGTCCCGGCCTCCGCGGCCTCCGCCTCGCCGACCCAACTTTGACCTTCGGCCGTGTTCGGGCAATCGCTTCAAACAAAACAAATAAACAACTCTCGCGGAGCGCGGCGCGTCACACAATCCTCTCAAGTTTCTTCACCGAAAACAAAGTCCGCGCGCGCGCGTGTGTGTGTTTGTGTGTGTGTGTGTGTGTGTATGAGTGTGTGAGTGTGTGAGTGTGTGTGGGAATGTGGGGGTGGAGGTCGGTGATGGAGAGACCGCGGCAACAGGGCCAAGGGGCTATAGACGGCGGGGGCAAAGGAGTGCCAAAATTTATGGCCGCGAAGTACGTACCTAAATTTAGCTCGCCGGAGCCCGCGGCCCCGCACTGCGCCAGTGCCCTCCTTCTGCCAAACCGGAAATGACAAAAGGCGGAAGCGGAAGAAAGGCTAGGAAGAGGTTGATTGGGAATGGATTGCAATACCGCCCCGATTCCTTCATACATCATTTTTTTCGGAGACGCGTGCACAACCATCCGCCAAAACAAACATAGTGCTGAAACTATTGGCACTGGAACGAAACATTTGGAGGACAGGTGTCGTATTAGCTAGTTTATATAGAAAATTTGATTTAGATTCCCGGAAACGGTTCACGAAGTTAGTTTGGTCTTTCAAGGCTTGAAGTTCGCCCAAAGACGACGGCGGCAAGTCGTTGCCGTGCGATCCTCGCGGATTCCCACCTCGCCCTGCGTGACGCGTGACGCCGAGTTATGAAATCGTCCGTCTCTCTCGCACTCCCGGTGCCTCGCGGCGCTCCGTCGGGGTGCGAGAGAGGCAGAGTGTGTTGGAGACGGAGCGCTCCCCCGGCGGGTCGCAGCAGCCGTCGCCGCACGTCGCCGTCGTCGCGGTCCTCGGCGTCCTCGGGGAGCGGCTGCGACCGCGACGCGCCGGCACACCGTGAAACCGTGAAACCGCGCCTTGAGGAAACCGAGGAAATCACCAAAGTTGGCAACAATGGCGCGGCCGATTTTACCGCTCCGCGTTCCCGCCGTCCTCCGTCAAGGCGGCAAGCAGCGGCAAGCAGGCTGAAGGGTTCCGCAGTGGAATTCACAACGCCGCGTGCCCTGTCGCGGGACAGGCAGACAGAGCTGCCGCCGTCCAAAGCGCGCTGTCTGCCGGGACGGCCGGGACGGCTGGGACGGCCGGGACACACCGCAGGGCACCGCAGGGCGCGAGTGAGTGAGTGCGAGAGAGACGGAGAGCGGGTCGCCTGGCCGCCTCACCCTTCCAGCCGACGGCCTACGTGTGCGGACTGCTGTCGGGCCGGGATCAAGCGGCAGAGGGGCGAGGGCGCAACAATTTTTGTTTTTAAATTGATTCCCCCGCCAGCGCGCGTCCCCGTCATCTCTCTCTCTCTCTCTCTCTCTCTCTCTCTCTCTCTCTCTCTCTCTCTCTCTCTCTCTCTCTCTCTCTCTCTCTCTCTCTCTCCCGCGCACACGACGCGCCTTGAGCACGCCGTAAAGCACGGGGCGTAAATTAAACGATAAGCGCCGGGCGCGTGGCACGAAAATTAACACCGTCAAGCAGCGCCGTTTTCTCGACTATTTTGCAATTTCGGCTGTAGTTTCGAAATTTTCCCCGTTTTGTTTCTCGTTGTTGATAAAAGTTATGCGGTACAAGTTTTGCCAATTTGTTTTTCTTTTCAACGGTGGATAAAAGAATAACAGATTTGCTCGTTTTTGTCGTAATGCAATTTTTCAAAATTAAGGGACCTGGTTTACTCTTTCCAGTGTACTTTTGCTTGGCGGAATTACCGCAGCCAACAGGCGTACTGACCGCCTTAGGCCCCGCATGCACATGTGTGTGGAGACTAATGGGTGCCGAGATAGCTGGCCGACCCTCGGCACGGCACGGCACGGCACGGCTTGGTTCGGCTGGGCACGGCATGGCTCGGCTCGGCTCGGCTCGGCTCGGCTCGGCACGGCTCGGCACGGTGCGGCTCGGCACGGCACGACGAGCTGGCCGATAGCCAACCGACTGGAGATACGAGGGGGCATTGCAGTTAAGCCCCCCGAAGCGTTTGCTCTTTTGTCTCAAGTCCCGCCGCGATCGCGCGGCCTCGGCGGACAATTTTTTTTTTCGAACGCCATGGCGACGTGTGAAAGTGTTTGGAAGGGAGAGAAATGTTGTCGCGGCACTGCGTGACTCACCGAGCGGGGTTTCCCTTACCGGAAAGTCAAATCACGCTCTTCTTCACACCACTGGCCTCCACCGCCTTCCTAAATCAATTGGGCGGGATTCCGAATTTACAGTGGGGCAGGAGACCGGTGGAGGCGGCCGAAACTCCAGACGCGTTTTGAGCTCTAGAGTCGCTAAACAGGACTCGAACCGAGCGTGTGACCCCACTAATGGACTCCTCGTTCGGAGAGCAATCCATTGGTGTAGTCACGTGGCCGGTTCGTGGCGAGACTCACCTTGGCCGGCACCTTCCCCAGCGCGTTCTCGATGTACTCGCGCTCGCGGGGGTCGATCCTGGGGTGCTGGGCCGGCGTGTCGAAGACGCACAAGTGCCACGGGATGTACCACAGCACGCCCAGCGCGCCGAACACGTAGAAGGCCATGGGCCAGCCGCTCAGGAAGTCCATGTCGCACAGCAGGCCGCTCACCGGCATGCAGATCACGGTGCCCAGGTAGCCGCCTGAACCAAACAGCAAGCTTAAGTGTTGCTAATTTTCTGTTTTTGATTGTGTGTTTGAAACTGCTTTGTTAAAGTTGTTTGTGTATTTGGTCAGCATTCGTTTTTCTACGTTTGTTTCTGGGAAAATCGGAAAAGTTCGATACGCCAGAGGCAGCCTCCCTCACCCCCCGCACTCCTCGCTCACCTTTTCAGACCCCACACTTTTAATTTACCGCGAAGGTACGAAAATAAAAACGCGACAAAACGAGATTATAAAAACATACTGAAAGGTCGAGAATCAATGCTGCTGCCGGTGGTGCTGTTGGTGTTGGATCCGGAACTTGGTGCCGACCAGAGTTGGGTTCACCGTTCCCTTCCAATTGAATCGTTGGACCACTTTTCCTCGTCTTTACAAAGAAGTAAGACCCCGTCACCTCCCCCCCTTCCCCCTCCCCCCTTTCCCCTCCCCCTTCCCCTCCCCTCTCCCCCTCCCCTCCTAATGAGAGCCCCACCGTGGTGCACCGCCGCCATGACGGAGTCGTTTCACGCTGTTTGCATCCCGCCTTCATAATGTTATTCATGAGAAATTTCACACAACGCGCGATACTCCGCGCGGAAGTCCCCGCGGCCGGCCGGCAGTCTTCCAGACCGGAAGTGGGGAGAGAGAGAGAGAGAGAGAGAGAGAGAGACAGAGAGAGAGAGAGAGAGAGAGAGAGAGAGAGAGAGAGAGAGAGAGAGAGAGAGAGAGAGAGAGAGAGAGAGAGAGAGAGAGAGAGAGAATGAGAGAGAGAGAGAGAGAGAGAGAGAGAGAGAGAGAGAGAGAGAGAAAGAGAGAGAGAGAGAGACAGAGAGAGAGAGAGAGAGAGAGAGAGGGGGAAGGCGAGGTGCGACAGGTAGAGAAAAGCCCAAAGAAAAATAAATTAGAGAAGAAAGCAAAAGTCTCGCGCGTTAACAGGAAATTAAGTTTAAACCGCGCGCGCTGAACTGGCCGCCAACTGACACATAAAACCGGCGGGCGTTTCCTTGGAGTGCGAGTGAGTGCGTTGCCGTCGCCATTCCTGGCACGAGGCGCGTCTCTTGCTCTTTGCTTTTCACTCTCCTCTCCTCTTTAACCGACAGACTGGATGCAGAACAACGTCACCCTGTCTCTCTCGCGCTCTTTGGGCGATGGCCCGGAAGCGCCCGCGGAGTCGCGGGTAGGCAACGCGGTGCTCTGGCGCGTTGGGCGGGACTGCAGCAGCAGCAGACTGCTTTCGTCGCTCTGGCTCTCTCGCACCTCTCCGGGGCGCTCATGAGTGCAAAAGAGACAGAGCGACGAAAATCGGTCTGCAGCAGCAGGACGCGGACCGGGACGAGAGAAGACGATAAATGAGATTTTCCGAGGTCGTGCGCCCCCTTCCCTCCTCCCCCCCCCTCCCGGTGCGGAAGGGTGGCCTCTGCGGCGGCGAGGTGGTGACTGCCCCATTTATGCCGTCTCTGTCGCACCCACGGCCCAGCCGGTGTCTTCCGAATGGCATCGGGCCACACGTGCGCTTCCACCTGTCTGTCTGTCTGTCTGTCCGTCCGTCTGTCCGTCCGTGTCGAAGCCAGTCTGTTAGTGCGTCTGCCGCTTTACTGCGGGCCTTGTCCCCACTAAACCTCGGCCATCTGGCCGTCTGGCCGGAGGCTGCTGGAGGCTGCTGGAGGCACTGGAGGGAGGCTGCTTTGCCGACGCACACCTGGCCGGCTTCGCCGAACCGCCCTCCCCCCCTCTTCCCTTTTCCCGGAAACAAGCTCATTTGCTACGAATTAGCGATTGGTATAATGGAAAGCCGGTTTCGCTTTTGTGTGCGCCGATCGCGAGGCGCGGACAGGGCGGACAGGGCGGACCGAGGGGCGGGCGGCACGACGGTCACAATGCAGAGCCATGCAGAGCCATGCACGGCCCGCAAAACAATGCCCCGTGATGGACGCTCGCAACAAAAACCGGCCAATAACAATAACAACGAGAACAAGGCGGGGGGGGGCGTGTTCTCGAAACCGATTACCACCAAAACATTTTCCTATACCGACCCAACATGCAGCGCCAAAGTGAATTGATCACATCAGTCGAGAGAGAGAAAAGGATGGAGAGAGCGAGACATCGAGCGAAAAGCGCGCGCACACACACACTCTCTCTCTCTCTCTCTCTCTCTCTCTCTCTCTCTCTCCTCTCTCTCCTCTCTCACCACACACACACACAATGGCACGCGTGGCCGCACCCACGCACATCACTGGCGCACAAAATAGCATAGCGCGTCGTGTGGGTTCATTTGGTGGCTGCCACAGAAAGCTTTTGATGACGTTCGTACCGCGAACCCTCTCAGCCAGAGAGAGAGAGAGAGAGAGAGAGAGAGAGAGAGAGAGAGGAGAGAGAGAGGGGGGGGAGAGGGGGGGCGGTTACGTGCGTGTGGCTAAGTGTATTTGTGTGCGGTGGGAGTGAACACACTACCCTGCTAAGGCTAAGCTAGACGTTGTATGCTCGCGCGCATAGTGTAGTGTGTCACAGGGTGTGAAGGGGGGAGGGGAGGGGAGGGGGAGGGGGAGGGGTAAGGGCACAAGCTTCCCCTCGGGCTCCTCCAGCATGGGTGGCGGGTAGCACCGTGTTCCTCCTACATATACAAACACGTTCACCCGCACGCGTGCGCTCACACACACACACATACACACAGCACCCTGCCAAATCCACACATACGTACGCAGGGGGTTGGCAATACGTGCACTATAAAGGAAACATATTAGGGATGGAGGGTGGATTGTCGGGACGTCTGCACAGTTCAACGGTCCTGCACTGTCAAAAAGTCATGCCAACACAACACTGAGGGAGTATTTGCAGGAGTTAATCTGTTTGCCAGAGGTCTTCGAAACTACCCAGGCACGGTGTTTTTTTGACGGTGTACCTACAAGCACGCAGCGCCGTCGCCGTTCCGCGCCACACCGACGCACGCAGTGGCGTCTGCCTGGCTGGGCTGGGCGGGCGGGGTCGGCGCGCGCGATAGGTCAGAGCCATAACACGTTTCCATCCCCGCCGAGATGTTCCCTCTCTCTCTCTCTCTCTCTCTCTCTCTCTCTCTCTCTCTCTCTCTCTCTCTCTCTCTCGTACGGCAGCAGCAGACTCATTACGCGTGCCCAAGGGAGTCTGAACACGCTCGTGTGTGTGTGTGTGTGTGTGTGTGTGTGTGTTGGCTCCTAGAGGAGGGCTTTGTCAATGCCCCCTCAGGTCTGCGCCCCTGTATTGCGTCCCGCCGTGGACGGAACGGCAGAGCTAATAACTTGCCGGCCGGGCTGCCGTTCCCGGCCGTTCCCACATTAAAAACACAACAACACTGTCTGATTCGGGGAGGTCCGGCCAGCTGCAACCGCGTGGCCCTCTTCCCCTGCCCGGCTTATCCGAAAAAAAAAAGGCTGGGTAGTGCCTTGCGCTCCAGCCTGGGCCAGCCTGGGCCCCTGGAGGACAAGGACAGTAGGCCAGAAGACCGGCGGAGGCGGCCAAAACTCTAGACGCGTTTTGAGCTCCAGAGTCACTATGACTAGAATCGAACGTGTGACCCCTCCAATGGATTGGTCTCAGAACGGGGAATGCATTGGTGGGGTCACACGTTCGGTTCGAGTCCCAGCGACTCTGGAGCTCAAAACGCGTCTAGAGTTTTGGCCGCCTCCGCCCGTCTTGGCTCACTGCGCTTCGCTCACTAGCGGGTACCTGTATACACCGTCGCGAAGCGACTGCGCTCGGCCGGCGGGGCCCACTTGGAGATCATGTACTGGATGGCGGGAAAGGTGACGCCCTGCAAAAAGAAAGTTCGAAAACACCTGAATAACTTTTCAAACGATGCGGCGCGCCACTGCAAGAAAATAATATTAAGTAAAACACCGTCATTTTCGCAAAAAAAAAAAAAAAACGGCGTTACTGCAAAAAAAAGACGCAGTCACTTTTTAAAAAAATAGGGCGCCTAGTGAGCTCGCCCACTCCGCTTTTAATTAAAACTGACATTTCTCGGCGGTTACCCCGCCAGGGCGGCGCGCGTTCCTTTAAATTGGCCCAAATTCGCAGCCAGACGTTCCAACGGTTCCAACGTCCCTCCTGGCGTGTTACTGTGTTGGCGTCAGGCCTCGCGGGCCCCGCCGAGGGCAGCCCCTCCCCGTCCCGGCCGTCCCGGTCCACGGCTGCAGCCCTCCTGCAGACTGATTCCGAGGAGTCGCCGCTCTGTCTCTGTCGCGCTCGCGGGGCGCTCTCACGGGTGCGAGAGACACAGAGCGACGTCTCCTCGGAATCAGTCTGCTGTTACTCTAATTCCATTCCCGAATCTTAAGAAGCGGCGCGGCGGGATAGCCGTCCCGGGCCGTCCCCCGACGGGCTGTCTCTCTCTCGTCGCACCGTCTCTCTCGCACTCGCCCCGGCCGCCCCGGCCCGGCCGCAGGTGCGAGAGAGACGGCGGCGTGCGACCCGCCCGTCGGGTCGGCGGGAAATGAGGGCCCTATTCACAGTGTCGCGGCCCTTTGGCAGTATCGCAGTGTCGCGTCCTCAAACATAAAGATGTTCGCCTTTTTTCCCTCGACTCGTTCATCAATTTCCCTGCCAGCCAGGCGCGGCCAGGCAGGGCCTTTTAATTCGCGGAATCGACCGTCTCCGGAGGGCCGCACAGTGGGCCAGAAGACCAGCGGAGGTGGCTAAGAGTCTTGACGCGTTTTGAGCTCCAGAGTCGCTGAATGGAACTCGGGCCGAACGTGTGACCCCGCCGATGGATTCCTCGTTCGGAGAGCAATCCTTTGGTGGGGTCACACGTTCGCTTCGAGCCCCATAGCGACTCTGGAGCTCAAAACGCGTCCAGGATTTTGACCGCCTGCACCGGTCTTCTCGGCCCACTGTGGGCCATGGCCGGCAAAAGGTAAGCGGAGTCAGCGGGTCAGCGCCAAAGTGTGTACACGGCACTGTACAGCGGGGCGGCGTGTCTCGGGATGGGATTAGGACGCCTTTGACATCCTGCGAGTCATTCAGGACTGACAAGATAGACGGGCCGAGCTGCGGAGGAGGGAGAGAGGGAGAGAGAGAGAGAGAGAGAGAGAGAGAGAGAGAGAGAGAGAGAGAGAGAGAGAGAGAGAGAGAGAGAAAGGGGGGGGGGGGCGGAGAGACAGAGCAATCAGCTCAAGTGGACAAAGAGCGGGTCCGGCAAGATGCGCCGCGTCGGCCGCTCCTGCACTCAACGCACTTAGGCTTAGGTGCACTTCTCCGGCCCATTCCTAACCGAGCCGCCCCGACCCTCCGACCCTCCGACCCTTCGCTCGGCCCAATCCCCTCCCCACCATCCTTCGGCGCTGCAACCCCGACCCTTCCTTCCAGGCCTATTTTCCTGGCTTCAATTTCGTTCCGGTTTTCAGTATTTCTTACACGGGGGAGGGGAAATCACCGGAACCTCAAACCTAAAAACCTTTTTTGTTTGGGGGGGGGGGAGTGATGCTCATTATTTATCCGGTTTGCTTGGCAGTTGAGTTGGTCGATCGGGGTCGCGATTCCGGAACTCGCTCGCAGCGAAAGCAGCGAAAGCAGCGAAAGCCTGCCGGCGAAGTTGGTCCTCGGTGTTCCCACTCCGCGACTGGCTGCTGCAGCACTGCTAAATGCACCCCTCGCACCGCTTTCCGCTAAAACTCCCGCATTGTTTATGACTTTCCACCCGTTCCACCGCTCCGTCTCTCTCGCACCGCAGCGGGACGCCGCGGGACGCCGCGTGAGTGCGAGCGAGACGGCGAAAGCACTGTTTGGAATGAGGCCGCAGTGTATCGGTTATTGCCGTGCCAAGTTCGCAGCCGGCCCCAGGCCCCAGGCCGCGCTGGCCTGGACCGTCTGCCTGGACTCCACAGAGCAGACCGACTGACCCCTATAGTTTGCGTTCCCCGCCCCGCTCTGCCCCGCCGGTACCCGAAAGCTCGAAGGCTTGCCGACGGCTTGCCTGAAGCCCCAGGGCTTGCCGAAGGCCCGAAGGCCCGAAGGCCCGAAGGCCCGAAGGCAGTGGTGTAATTTTCGGCACCGTTAACGCCACCAGCAGTGCCATCATTAGACTCCATTGTTCCCGAACTAACAACTGTGAGTGAGAAAGCGGGGCCCCGCCGACCAGAGCCAGACCGAGCCAGAGCCACGGCCGGCTGGCCGGCCTGAGGCGACCTCCACTTCTTCGCAGAAAGTTGAGGGCGAAAGCGGGCGAAGGGTTTGCAAATAAGGGGGCCTCATTCACTGGCACGAAGCGCAGCGTCCTTCCCGCAGCGTCCTCCACGTGGGGGCACCCTTTCAGCTGGAGGGCCCAGGACGGCCGAGAGCGGCCGAGAGACGCATGCCGAAGGCAGGCAACGCGCCGCGCGACGCAAAGTGGGTTGTAAAACACGCGAGGGTGTAGCGACCTGATGGACTCGCCGAGCGCTGGCCGGATCGAACCGAACCCCGGGCTAGCCGGGCTATCGCACTCGGCTTCACTCGGGCCCCGTTAGTGCTCCATATTGGACCGCCCTCGAGCGCCGCGGCGCGTCCTCGATTTAACTACCCCTTTCTGCTGCTTCCGCCCCTATTGTCATCGATGCCGTGCAGACTATTCGTCTCAAGACCCTCAAGACCCTCAAGAAGGCTCTCAAGGCCGCCCATCACGCTCGGCCCTTCGATGCGCCGGCCTTTCTCCCGGCAGCCCTCAAACCGACCCTTCAAGTCCAATTGCTCCGACCCATGACCTAATACCCGTTCGCACGACCCTTTCCCCGCGACCCTTCCCTCACGACTTTATTCCCACGACCCTTTCCCCACGGCTCTTTTCCACGACCCTTTACCTTACGACCCGTTTCCCCAACCCTTTTCCCACGACCTTTTTCGACACGACCCTTTTCCCACGACCCTTTTCCACAACCCTACCCCCGCGACCCGTCGGTCCGGACAGTGGCCGCGTCCGCTGCCTCGCTGTCGGCCAAGCATGCTCCTCGACCCAACTCTTGCGAGACGGCCGGCCGTCCGGTTGCATCCCATTCCATCCGCGCAACAAGGACAACAACAACAATCAACAACAAGAACCGAGTTATTTGCAACAATGTTCGCTCGGCGAACAAGGCCAGCACGGCGGCCGCCTCGGAGTCCACGCCACGCCATGACCTGCCACGACCACCCCGCCCCGCCCCGCCCCGCCCCGCCGCGATAGTGGTGGCATTCATTCCGTCTGCACCGCACACACGGCAGCGTGTCCGGCACTACTCCTGATTGGGCAAAGCATGCGCGCATTCACATCCAATCGTTGGACGCCCGCTGCGCCCGTTGGCGTGGAATGCGTCCAGATAGCGCCACCGTGTCAGGACGAACCGGTTAGAGGGGTGGGGTGGGGGAGCTCGGTGGCGCACGCTTCCTCGCATTCAGCCGCACCGCGCCGCCATGCCGCCAGGCGCGCGCCACCGCACGTTCGCTGATGATTGCATTCTCTACCAAACTAAAAAGCCAAAAAGCCGAAAAGCCACACGTCGCGGTCGTCCCTTTTCCCGCCTTTCTCGTTTGATCGCTCCGGATCTGCCGCGGCCGGTTTGTTTCAAAGATAAGTTATGCAGGTCGCCGCTGTAAGCAATGCCCCGCAACGCCGCGTGCGGGGCGGGAAAAATGCAGTCGTGATTAGGGGAAGGGGGAGGGGGGGACAGTGTAGCCGCATAAGTAGGCGAAAAAAGGGTTTCCAACCTCGGGGTGCCAACAGGGCGACCTCTTGACTACGAGGCACTGATGTCGCCTCATCCCGCCTCGTTCGCTGGCTGCGAGGTTGGCAACCCTCGCGCCCCTGTGGCTGCACTGGTGGAAGAAGGTGGCCGGGAGGAGGGGCGAGCGCCCGCGAAAGCGAGGGTAGGCAACCCGCGGGCACGCCGGTCGGCGGGTTTGCCCACCTCGCGGGCGCTCGGCCAAACCTCCAGACGCGTTTTGCTCTGACTCGCTAAACAGGACACGAACCGACCGCGCGACCCCGCCAACGGATTCCTTGTTCGGAGAGCAATCATCCATTGGTGGGGTCACGGTTCGAGTCCCACTTAGCGACGCTCTGGAGCTCAAAACGCCTCCACCGGTCTTCTGGCTGACTGGTTTCATTTCTCGAAATCAATCTGCGGCGTTCCTGGAATCGCGGTGCGTGGACGGCAAGTTTCGCTAGTAGTCTGAGCACGGCATTCCACCCCACTTCGGTTCGGCCGGGCAAGGCGCGGCGCGGCGTGGCGGTGCACGGCGAGGCTACATCGGGGAACACAACCCGGAGACCGCGGCCGCCCTGGCCGCCCTGGCTGCCACGGGGATCGGTATGACGTTACCCGGAATGCCGCGAGTATTGTGCGCGGCGCTCTGCCAGCGCATAGCACCGCGGATAAACGCATCGGAGCAAACGGACTTTTCGCCCGACCGCATTTCGCGAATGGCCAGACAGGCAGGTAGACAGGCGGACAGACACGCAGACAAACAGTCACGGGGTGAACGTTTTTCGCGCGATTTTGGTCGTCGCGTTACACAACTTGGCGCCGGTGAAACCCCGACAGACAGACAGACAGGCAGTCAGGCTGACAGACAGACAGACAGACAGACAGACAGACAGACAGACAGACAGACAGACAGACAGACAGACAGACAGACAGACAGACAGACAGACAGACAGACAGACAGACAGACAGACAGACAGACAGACAGACAGACAGACATCAGGAGGCAGATAGACACAGACAGACAGACAGACAGACAGACAGACAGACAGACAGACAGACAGACAGACAGGCGGTCTGAATAAAGACGAGGCAGACCCATGGATAGACAGCCAGACGGAGGAACAACAGAGGGACAGGCAATCTAGGAGGATCAACTATCGCTTCGAGAAGAAGGCTTTGCGCGAGGCTAAGGAGGAGCGCAGCAGCGCACGGCGCAGCACGGCGGCACCGAGGGGCACCCTGTTCGCAAAGCGACGCAAAGCGTGTCGCATGTGGCGCCGCATGAGCGGCAAGGCAGCCTCCCCGCCTCGCCCGCCTCGCCGACCAAGTAACCATGGTAACCGTTATATTCAATTTGGCGGCCGCGAAACAGCAGTAACGCGCGAGTATTATGTATCCTCTCACACGCACACACACGCACGCACGCCCACACTCACGTACGGGCGGCGAGAGCTAGTAAACCTCTTACAGGTGGGTGCCAGCCCGGCAGGCAAACACCATCAGCAGCAGGGGGTCGTCCGCGAGCGCGGTGCACAGTGGGCCCGAAGACCGGTGGAGGCGGACAAAACTCCAGGCGCGTTTTGAGCTCCAGAGTCGCTGAATGGGACTCGAACCGAACGCGGTGACCCCACCAATGGATTGCTCTCCGAACGAGGAATCCATTGGTGGGGTCACACGTTCGGTTCGAGTCCTGTTTAGCGACTCTGGAGCTCAAATCTTGTCCGGGATTTAGGCCGCCAGCGCCGGTCTTCCTGCCCACTGTTCGGTGGCGTGCTTACCTCGAAGAGCCCCTCCAGGAGGCGCACGGCGAAGAACCAGCCGCCACCGGCGCGGGCCAGGAAGGGGCTGGCGATGGTGAGCAGGGCGGTGCCCAGGGTGCCCACGCCGAACACCAGCTTGCCGCCGAGCCGCTCCGCCAAAAGCCCGCCGGGCAGCTGGCCCACCGCGTAGCCGTAGAAGAACCCCGACAGGATGAAGCCCTGGTAGCCCTCGTCCCACTCGAAGTCGCCGTCCTGGAGAACAAGAAGACCCTCAAGTCGCCGTTCTTCACTCGGCGCTGCCGCCGCGCTGCCGTCCATCCTGCGCGACCGGCGGTTATGCGCGGTAACGGCACCGCGTCGCCATTTAGCTTGTCTATAACTCAAAGGCTGCGGCGGCGCCCCGGCAGCACCCCGGCGCCCCGCTCCAAAATTGCCGTGCAGTTTATTTATAAGTGCGCACGGGTGTCCCGCACCTACACCGCCAGCAACGCCGGCACCGCAGGGTGCGGCCGGCCGGGTAAGTTTGCGGTGTGGCTGCGGCAAGCCTGGGGCAAGTCTGGGGTAAGTCTGAGGCAAGTCTAGGGTAAGTCTGGGGTAAATCTGAGGTAAGTCTGGGGTAAGTCGGAGGAAGTCAGCGCGTTGAAGTTCTGGAAGTCTGAGGTCAGTCTGAGATGTCTGAGGTCAATCTGAGGTCATTCCGAGGTCAGTCTCAGGTAAGTCTCAGGTAAGTCTGCGGTAACTCTGGGGTAAGTCTGGGGTAAGTCGGCCCGTTGATGTCTGCGGTAAGTCGACGCGGGATGGTGAAGTGGGGGGTACTGGGTGAGTTTGTAGCGCTAGATCGGCGTGATTGGCGCGGTGCGTTCGCACTAGTTCGCACCACGCTGCGCCGAGACTTTGACGTCGGGTAAGTTACAGCCTTGATAAGCGAGGCGGGTAACGGCGGGTAACGGCGAGTAGCGCAAGGCGTGTGTTCATTCTCCGCCGAAGTCCCCGCCCCACCGTAAGTGGGGGTAACTTTACCCCGGGTAAACCGAGCCACCCAAGTGGACTGGCTGGGATAACAAGGGCCTGCCTCGCCCGGCCCAGACGAGCGCATGGTGAGGTAGACACAGGCAGGCGGCGCAGCGCTGCGCAGCGCCCGCTCGAAAAAAAAAAAAACACCGACGAAGACTGCTCGCTCGCTCAGGCCCTCCATCAGGCACGCACCGCCCTCTCATAAGGCACTACAGCCTTCCAGGCCTTCCAGGCCTTCCAGGCGACCGCGCAGCGCAGCGTTGCCACATCAGTAGGCAAACACTCTCACGATGGACCGAAGGCCCATGACCCCTTGCCTACCTCGACGGCGTATTTTTTTCAAGAGCACAGCCCAGGTGTAGCCTGCTTGGTGGACAGGCTGAGGTAGGCAGCTCTTTGAGCGCATCGTGTTATTCTATTTTTTCCTACGCATGTGGCAACACTGGCCGGCAGTGTTCCGAGCCATTGCTTTGCCGGCTTTGCCTTTCGGCCCGCTGAACTTGGCCTGGATGTGTAGGCCTCGACTTATGCGCTGCAGATGTTGGCACGCGCTCCGCTGGCGCTGTTGGCTGCGGGACGCGCGGCACGCCAAAACACGCTCCCCGCACCCGGCCAGGGTTTCCCCAATAAAACGTGTCCCGGCCCAGCCAGGCCCAGCCAGGCCCAGCCTCGCTCGGAAGTTGATCTCGGGCAGGGCAGGCCGATTCGGGTAATCCCTGCACTGATACTGCCACGGCACTGCCACGGCACTCGCTTGATGAACAACTTTGGATCGCGATAAGCGGCACGCCTCGGGGAGTCTGCGCTCCGCGGCCTTGCCTGGCCCTGCCTGGCCTTGCCTGGCCTTGCCTGGTCTTGCCCCGACCGGCGGCCTCTGGAGAATTATCTGCTGTTCTGTGTTGCGCGGAGCATCGCAACGCGGCGCCGGAAGGAAAGATTCTGGGCCCGGAAGTCCTGAGCTACAAGGTGATACGCGCTGAATGGAAGGGGGGGGGGGCTGGGAAGAGGAGAAGTGCCACCGTCCCGCTGGGATGGATTTCAGCGTCCTCAAAATGACAAAAGGTGGAGGAAAAATACTAAAAATGGAAAAACGAGCACCTGGTATTCGAACCGCGGTTCTTTCGCTTGCGACGCGACGCGCTAACCCACGCGGACAACCCTCTGATTGGCAAAAATACAAAGGAAAAAAGAAAAAGCGCCTGGTATTCGAACCACGGTTCTTTCACTTGCGACGCGACGCGCTAACCCGCGCGGCTGACCCACTGATTGGCTGCAGTGCTGCATTCTCGCCGCGCCACGCCGAGACGACTCACTCAAGACTTCCAACCGCCGCCGTTCTCATACTCGGCGGAGCGAAATTTCCAGCTCGTCGTCCCCCTTGTCCCAGGGCTGTTTCGTCGGTGCACCACCAAACTGGGGGGCGAAGTGAAAAGTTGTGTACATTGTTCGCCGCAGTAGACAGCGCGATTCTCTGCGGTTTTTTCTTGTTTTTTTTTGTGTTTTGTTTAGGCGGTTCCGCTAATGAGGGTTTATTTTCGCGGGAAGTTTTCCCAGTGGTGTGGCGTCCACGTCGCTCGCCTCGGCTTTGCGGTCCGTGGTCGCGCCGATCGCGCAGAGTTTCGCGACGTGCCCCGGCCGATTCGTATTAATGCTAAGCCGGAAGGAATAATTACAGTGGAGGGAGAAAATCCGGGCCGTATGTTTGAAAAACGGCGCCAGAAACGGCAGAGGCGGAGAGGACGAAAATGGGATCCTCAGAAATACGCGCTCTCAAAACCGTACAAATTACCTCGGGCCTTTGGTATGTTCAAAACGCTTCGTAAGCTTTTTTTGCAGTAAAGCGTGGCTCACTCCACTCGATATAATTTCGACTGCGACGAGGGGAAATTAATTTAAAGAGTGATCGGAAGTGCATTAATTTGCTACATCGAGGCAAACAGCGCTATCTGTCCGATGGATGGCGGTAAATACAGTGAACCTCCATGGCGCGCCATGGCGGGGACGTCAATGCCGTCCTCGATGCCGTCCGTGCAGTTCAAACATTTCCCTCACAAATACAGTGGCGCGGCCCGCGCGGCCCGCTCGCTGTGCGGCCTGTGATTCCCGGGGATTAAATCGCCGCTGCACACCGTCTCTCTCTCTCTCTCTCTCTCTCTCTCTCTCTCTCTCTCTCTCTCTCTCTCTCTCTCTCTCCCTCTCTCGCCGCTGATGACGCCAGCCCTCTCCATGGTTTAAACTCACCGAAATGAAGCATGACGTCGCGTACCGGAGAACCTGGTTGCGGTGCAGCGAGCGGGCTGATGCCGAGAGTTTGTCGCTTCCGTCGTCGCTCTGTCTCTCTCGCACGCGATGCGCTCTATGAGTGCGAGAGTGACAGAGAGAGAGAGAGAGAGAGAGAGAGAGAGAGAGAGAGAGGTGACTTTTGAAACGACAGCGGCACGCCGGCACGCGTGGGGAGGTCGCGGTTTTGCTGCCCTGCCGTGACAGTGCGGCCGCTGTGTGTCTGCTCGGCTCTAGCCGCAGCCGTTCCCGTGATGCGAGCTATTATTGCTGCATCGGACGGGAAACCACGACAGCATAGCAGTGAAAACAAATCTTCAAAAATAGAAAAAAGTAATTCAAAACTTTAATTTAATTATTTTAAAAAACAAATTTCTAGGGGGTGACGTCGAAGATATTCATAACATGAACGCTTTCTCTCTCTCTCTCTCTCGTCTTGGCATCTGATTACCCAACCAAATCTTACTAGGCTCGCTTCACGCTCTCTTGGAGAGCAAAATTGGCGGGCTGGAGTCTATCAAGGCACGGCACACGCACTCACACACACACACACACACACACACACACACACACACACAACACAAACAACACACACTCTCTCCTCTCACGTGAATATGGGATTCAGAGCAAAGTAACTGTTCGGCCGACAGGCGCTGTATCATCGTCATATTATACGCGCTTTCGAAATGTGTGTGTATGCCGGCATGTCAGTGCCGTTGTCAGGGGAATTATCGCTCATCATATCCCCACCCGCTTCGTGTCAAGGGAGGGGAGGGACGCGGGGGACAGGGGTTGGGGGAAGGAGGGGGGTGGAAAAGAAGGGAGTGGGAGGGGGGGGGGAGTGCGTGGGCCGTCCGGTAAGCGGAAAAGTGAAGCCAACACGTCTGGGGTGGGACTGCCTGGGGTGCCTCGCACTGCCTCGCCAGCACAACGACCGAGCCTCGGGCCGAGCCGGCCGGGCAGAATCAGCAGAGAGAGAGAGAGAGAGAGAGAGAGAGAGAGAGAGAGAGAGAGAGGGAGAGAGAAGGAAGTGGAATTAGAGCGCCGCCTGCTGCCTGTGTGGAAGGAAAACCTCTTCGGCACGGCACCGCAAAAAAAATTGCAGGTGAACACGAATTATCTGCTTTAAAAAAAACGAAGGGGCTAAAAACCTTTAGACGGGGAAAAAAGTGCTAACTAACAATTTAAAATAATTCAAGAATGAATGAAAGGGTCTGGCTCGGATTGGCTAATAAACAAAGTTATTCTCGGTTGTGACCGGTTTAATGCTCGTCAGATCGTCGTGTTTGTTTGCAGTGTGGCGAGGGTCACGACTTTGGACGGCCAGGAGTGGCCAGGTGCTGCCAGGTTGATATTAAATGCAGCCGGGGGCGCGAAAAACCACCCGTGGCACCACGGACCGTCCAGAGGGGGAATATTTAAATTCAAGTTCGCCACCACACTGCCCTCAAGCTTTCCTGTTTTTTTAGAAAGGTAGATGGGGTCATTAGTGACTTTCCCAAGGGAAACTTAATTTTTTTCCTCAGTGCCGTGAGTTATTTTATCGAGTGACTGGAGACACGCGCGCCGCCCGGATAGGCGACTCTCAAAAGCACACGCAAGCGGCGCCAGGCCGCGCCGGGCCGCCAGGCCGCCGCCGCCACCGGTGCGAAGGGGATAGGAATCTTAATGGCTACCGGAGCCTCGAGCAAAGAGCCAGCCTCCCGGAGGGCTGCCTCCCGAGCGCGCCGCGCCGTCCCTCTCGCTCTCACGGGCCGTCCCGCTGCGGTGCGAGAGAGTCGGAGCGACGGAGTGGGACTGGTGGCGCTGCCGTTCGGAGATACAGCGCTGTGAGCGCGGCACTGCCAGGCACTGCGGTGCGCCGCCGCCCAGCCCACAGTGGGCCCTGGTGGGCCAGAAGGCCGGTGGAGCCGGCCAAAACTCTCGACGCGTTGTGAGCCCCAGAGTCACTAAATGGGACTCGAACCGAACGTGTGACCCCACCAATGGATTGCCCTCCGAACGAGGAATCCATTGGTGGGGTC